CATTCCGCGAGTTTTTGCTCCGGCCATGAGGGCAGGGGACTGGACTCAATGACCTCTCGAGGTCCCTTCCAGTCCTAGAATCTATGAATCTATGAAAAACTCCCCCTACAATAATCTTGTGACCCCTTTTTTGGTCAGGACCCCTACAATTACAACACCGTGAAATTTCAGATTGAAATAGCTGAAATCATGAAATGTACGATTTAAAAAATCCTAGAACCGTGAAACTGACCAAAATGGACCGTGAATTTGGTAGGGCTCTAGCTATAAGCACTGTGGCTCTGACCCAGCAAAGCACATAATGCACATCGATAGTCTCATTGAAGTCAATGGGTCTGCTCGTGCTTAAAGTTAAGCATGTGATTAAGGTAAAATTTCCAAAAGTGCCTAAAGTCCAATCTTGCAAATAACTACTTCACTTTATTACCACGAGCAGTCCCATTGTAACCTGCAAAGCTTTACTGACATGGGGTGTGATCCAAAGCACACTGAAATGAGTGGGAGTCTCCAGTGGCTTTAATGACCTTTGGATCAAGCATATTCATAGATTCATAGATTCTAGGACTGGAAGGGACCTCGAGAGGTCATCGAGTCCAGTCCCCTGCCCGCATGGCAGGACCAAATACTGTCTAGACCATCCCTGATAGACATTTATCTAACCGACTCTTAAATATCTCCAGAGATGGAGATTCCACAACCTCCCTAGGCAATTTATTCCAGTGTTTAACCACCCTGGCAGCTAGGAACTTTTTCCTAATGTCCAACCTAGACCTCCCTTGCTGCAGTTTAAACCCACTGCTTTTTGTGATTAGTTCTATTTAAGTCAAGTCAATGAGACTACCTGCAAGGATCAGGCCTTCGGGGTCTTCTTTAAGAATCTCCTTAAGGGAGACAGGACAATTGTCCTTCCCCACAAAGGCCGAGTTAAATAAAATAAAATCATACAAGCCCAGTGCTGCATGATGAGAGTGTCATGGCAACGTTTTTTGAACATCAGAACTGGAGCATGCTCTTCTGAAGGATTCGTTGAGATTGCATCTTGTGCTTTCTCTATCTGCATCCACGCCAAACCTGTCTGGGCAGCTTAAGGGAATAATTGTGTTGAAAGGAATGATAGACAGCATTGCTACGGCACTGCTGACGGTGAGTGGAGATTTTTGGTTACCTAGCCCCAACTAGCAGTATTTTATTTCCAGTGCGCAAAATATTAAAATGCATTTAGAAGCGTGCAGCAGAAAAGTGACACATAAAATCAAAATCTAACCTTAACCAACTGACAGAAAATAGACATGGTTGGATTCTATGATCTGCCAAGTTCACCTTGCCCTGCTTACATTGCATGGCACACAGTGGGCTACGGTAGCTGGAGATTTACACTGGAGAATTCCCCTCTGTAGAGAGGGAATCTCTGCCAGTGTCAAGTGCTGGAAACCACTCTTGCAGTTCCAGGGAGGGAGAGTGTGAAAAGCATGGAGAAGGGAGGGGGTGTGGCTGAGCGAGTCTTTGCTACTCCTGATTCTCCATTGGTGTAAGGTCCCTCAGTAGAGTAAGTCAAAGCTGCCCCTATCTGGCCTTAACTTATACCAGAGCCAAGCAGCTGAAGATCAGGGAGTCACTATTGTCTCCCTGACCCCTCTGCACTGTGCCTGGGCTGTTTCAGGTGCAGTGGAAAATCAAGCCCACAGAATCTGATTCTATATAATAAGTTTCCAGGATTGGCACTCTGAAGCCTCCTGTGTCTGTTGAGTTAGTGTGAAGCACTGGAAACAGCTATAAAGAAGGCTGAGAGCTCTTTTTATTCAGAATATCACCAGGTTCAATTATCATTGGATTTTGCAGTCTGTCACTATCCAATTAAGTTCTCTGCCATTTTGCCTTTACAAATTACACCTGAGTGCAGAGGTGCTGGAACTAAGGGGCTGCCACACCCGCTGGCTTGAAGTAGTAATAACAACCCACATACATGGTTTCTGCCTTCAGCACCCCCCACTATAAAAATTGTTCCAGCACCACTGCCTGAGAGACAGCAGGGCATGTATCTATGCCATGCAAAGAGTTTGAGATGATTGTGATGTCAGAGGTAACTCAACATGAGAACATAAGAACATAAGAATGGCCATACTGGGTCAGACCAAAGGTCCATTCAGCCCAGTATCCTGTCTTCTGACAGTGGCCAATGCTAGATGCCCCAGAGGGAGTGATCCTAACAGGTAATGATCAAGTGATCTCTCTCCTGCCATCCATCTCCACCTTCTGACAACAGAGGCTAGGGACACCATTCCTTACCCATCCTGGCTAATAGCCATTAATGGACTTAACCTCCATGAATTTATCTAGTTCTCTTTTAAACCATGTTATAGTCCTAGCCTTCACAACCTCCACAGGCAAGGAGTTCCACAGGTTGACTGTGTGCTGTGTGAAGAAGAACTTCCTTTTATTTGTTTTAAACCTGTTGCCCATTAATTTCATTATGGGAACAAGTAAATAACTTTTCCTTATTCACTTTCTCCACACCACTCATGATTTTATATACCTCTATCATATCCCCCCCTTAGTCTCCACTTTTCCAAGCTGAAAAGTCTTAGCCTCTTTAAGCTCTTCTCATATGGGACCCATTCCAAACCCCTAATCATTTTAGTTGCCCTTCTCTGAACCTTTTCTAATGCCAGTATATCTTTTTTGAGACGAGGAGACCACATCTGTACGCAGTATTCAAGATGTGGGCGTACCATGGATTTATATAAGGGCAATAAGAATATTTTCCATCTTATTCTCTATCCCTTTTGTAATGATTCCTAACATCCTGTTTGCTTTTTGACTGCCACTGCACACTGTGTGGACGTCTTCACAGAACTATCCACGATGACTCCAAGATCTCTTTCCTGATTAGTTGTGGCTAAATTAGCCCCCATCACATTGTATGTATAGTTGGGGTTATTTTTTCCAATGTGCATTACTTTACATTTATCCACGTTAAATTTCATTTGCCATTTTGTTGCCCAATCACTTCATTTTGTGAGATCTTTTTGAAGTTATTCACAGTCTGCTTTGGTCTTAACTATCTTGAGCAGTTTAGTATTGTCTGAAAACTTTGTCACCTCTCTGTTTACTTGTTTCTCCAGATCGTTTATGAATAAGTTGAATAGGATTGGTCCTAGGATTGACCCTTGGGGAACACCACTAGTTACCCCTCTCCATTCTGAAAATTTACCATTTATTCCTACCCTTTGTTCCCTGTCTTTTAACCAGTCCTCAATCCATGAAAGGATCTTCCCTCTTATCCCATAACAACTTAATTTATGTAAGAGCCTTTGGTGAGGGAACTTGTCAAAGGCTTTCTGGAAAACTAAGTACACTATGTCCACTGGATCCCCCTTGTCCACATGTTTGCTGACCCCTTCGAAGAACACTAATAGATTAGTGAGACATGATTTCCCTTTACAGAAACCATGGTGACTTTTGCCCAACAATTTTATGTTCTTCTATGTGTCTGACAATTGTATTCTTTACTATTGTTTCAACTAATTTGCCCGGTACTGACGTTAGACTTACCGGTCTGTAATTGCCGGGATCACTCTAGAGCCCTTTTAAAATATTGGCATTACATTAGCTATCTTCCAGTCATTGGGTACAGAAGCTGATTTAAAGGACAGGTTACAAACCATAGTTAATAGTTCCGCAATTTCACATTTGAGTTCTTTCAGAACTCTTGGGTGAATGCCAACCAATCACCACACTTACTCTACAGCTTATTTGCATGGAACTAATTCATTGGTTCTGTGAGGGAGACTGCTCAGATGGTGGACTACTTGACTTAACTGCCCGCACCCAACTGCAACCCACAGAAATCAACATAAACCCTCCAGCACAATCCCTCAGACACAAATCAACACAACCACCTATACCCATAAACACCACAACCAGTACACACAATAACCGAAATACGTAGCTCCTCACCACACACCCCTCGCTTTATCACCCATACAAATCTACACAATTCTCCCAGCACAATGCAACCGACACACAAATCAACATAACCACTGACACAACAACCCCAAACATCACTCTGAAGCCTAGAATGTCTCTTGAGTTACTGTGAAGTGACAAATACAGCTACAAGTACGTTTGAGAGCTCTTTTTGTTTAGCATATCATCAGGTTCAATCATCACTGGGATTTGTGGTCTGTTACTGTCCAATTTTTAAGTTCTCAGATATTTTCAGCTTTTTTACACACAACTTTACGAATTACACCTATGCAATAGCATGGGTTTTCAGTTACTAGTCTAATAATAATTGTTGATCTTAAGTAGAAAATATCATGGACCAGATTCTGCTCTCAGTTACAGTGGTGTAAAGCCAGAGTAATTAGAGTCAACAGGTCTGAGTCTTCTTTTACATTGGTGTACATCAGAAGTAACCCCTCTGAAGTCAATGGAGTTACACTGGTGTAAAAGTGGTCTGAAATCAAAATCAGGCCCAGTGGAATTCCTCTGGATTTACATTGGTGTAACTGAACGCAGAAGTTGTCCCCAAGTGATTAGGCATCTCACAAAACTCTGAAGATTAAACGGTTACCTTCTTTAAATTTTGTTTGATAGTTGTACTGTCTCTCTCCACAACCTTCATCATTTCTTGGCTTGCCATATACAGGACATTCGCTGCAGAAAAATAAATGCACAGTAATGCAATTAGAAAGCAAATCTCTTACACTTACAGCAAGCTATGGGCCCAATCCTGCAAACAAATGCTACCGGCTGTGCACTTATTATCCTGCAAAATCCACGAAAAGCAACACAGCTGATAGAAAGCGTTCGCAGGACTGGGCCTTGGGCCCTAAAATATCAAGCAACAAGCAGAGAATTTTCAGTGAAATTCACTTTTCACTATTCATATGACACAGCCACTTTGCTATCGACTTTCTGAAAAGGCTACCTGACCCAAAGTATTAGTGAAGAAAAAGGTGCAATGTATTAATTAATTATTATATTCTTCAGTGTGATCTTTAGTATGCTCTTTTGGAATAATCAGAATGGATGGAATTCTCAGCACTCAAACAGCATTTTTTCATTTTCAAAGCACTTTGCAAATATATACAGTAATTTATTTTCTCAATACTCCTGTAAGTTAGGTAATTCTGAGTTAATGTCAATTATTATTATTATTCTATGGATTGTGGTAGTGCCTAGAGGTTCCAATCACAATCCAGGACCCCTTTGTGCTAGGTACTGCACTAGCACAGACTCTAAGCTATCCGGCTGTCAGAAGCAATCCTCACCTGAGGAGGGAATGGTCAGGTATCCATGATGGCTAATACTACGCTGGCTGCTGGTTTTTCAGGAGAGACTTTCTAAAAACAGGGTCCTGTCTGCTTACTATGGACATAAAAGACCCCATGAGGCCCTCTGTGGATGGCGTACCTGGCCATGGCCCCTCCTCCCAACCATGTCTTCTTGGCAGCCATCACCAGGGTGGCTGGTTGCTAGCAGTGCTTTGTGTATAGTCTGATCTGGCTCCAGTTGAAGTCCATGGGAGTTTTGCCACTAATTTGCAAGAGCACCAGAAGCCAGCCTGTTGGGATTGGGATGAATGGGGCTATATACATTAAAAATATTACTGACCACCAACGTGGAACTTGACAATCTTGCTAGGGATACCGCATGCAATTTCCTGTTCTCAGCCCAACAGCAAAACTGAGTTAGGGCAAGGACAGACATCTAAAAAGTCTTCTGCCTGCAACCTATTTAGAGTCTCCTGTCTCCCCTCTTCCCACCTTAGCCAATCCTCTCTCCCATCTCTGCTTCAGGAGGTGACAGATTGCTCACTGATGGGTTCTGTTGTGACATACCGCAATAGCAACTCAGTATTTGCCCACAAAGAGGGTTTTTCCTCTTCAGGGAGCACAGAAGCAACCACTTGCACAACAAAAAGAAAAGAGTCCGGGGCTGCCCAATTCCCACTGAAATTCAGTGGGAGTTAAGAACCAAACTCCCTTAGGCTCCTGCAAAGATCCGAGCCTTGGGCTACAATTTTCATGTGCGACTGATGATTTTGGGTGCACAAAATGAGACACCTTTAGGGTTACCATATTTCAGGTTCCCAAAAAGAGGACAGTGCTGGGGCAGGGGGTACTGGTGGGGGAGCTGGAGAGATGTGTGTGTGTCTTGGGAGGGATATTTGGGGGTACTGGAGGGGTGTGTGTACTGGGACGGGGCTTGGGGGTGCTGGAGGAGTGTGTGTACTGGGAGGGAGTATTTGGGGGGCTGCTGCAGGGGTGTGCGAATACTGGGAAGGGTACCGTGGTGGTACTGGAGCAGGTACCTGAGGCCTCACTCTTGAGGTGGGGGGCAGTGTCACTTCCTGTCACAATGGTAAAGTGGCTGGCACAGGCCCAGGACGCAGTGCCAGCCGTCAGTCAAAGCCTCCCTGCCTCTCCCCATCCCCAGGGCTAAGAGCCAGGGCCTGAGTGCGCAGGATCTGTGGCTGCAAGGAAGGAACCAATGAGCTACGACTGCAGGAAAGGGACCAGTTGGGACACAGAGACAGCTCTTTCTGAGCTGCAACATCTGCTTGCAAAAATTCTGGACATTGCCTCTTATTTAAAAAGTCCCCCCGGACAGAGGGCGGGGGATCAAAATAGATATTGTATCCGGGAAAACCAGGACGTGTTGTAACCTTAGACCCGTGGAGCATGACTTTCAGAAGTGCTGAGCACCTGCAGATTCGGCTGGCTCCCAGTGGAGTAGTGGCTGTTCAGCATCTCTGAAAATCAGACCGATGGCATCTCAGATCAGAGGCCATTTTTGAAAACATTGGCTTTAAAGTGCACTGAAAAATAGGAAATGTCGTAGAATCAATATGGGTACAAACCCCGAGCTGTGAGAATGTCTATATAGCAGTAGGGCTACACTACTGGCCTCTGGATCAAGAAAAAGAAACTGAGTGCACAGCGGTGAAGGATTGCAAAGAGGCAGCAAAATCTAGCAAAATAGTAATAAAGGTGGTAATTAAGGTGGAATTCAATTACCCACATAAACGGGTTAAACAGCACAACAGGACAAAGTTTAGAGAAACAATTTCTTGACACTTTAACACTAGACACTTTGAGTGACTGCTTGGAATAGCCAGTTCTAGAGCACACAAGAGGAGAGGTTATTCTTGATATCTTAGGAAACACATAGAAGGTAATCAAGAAGTGACAATGGCTGTGCCACTAAGTAACAGTGACCACAACATAACTAGCTCAAGATGTAAAAACAAAGAACAAGAGGAAGGAAACCTGCAATAGACTTGGGGAGCCTGTGGGATCATCAGGGCTAAAGAGAACAAATAAGGAAGATAAGGACATTGCTGAGAAGCCAAATGATTTCTTTGCCTGGTCTTTATCAATTAGAATGTTGGGGAGATTCTTACTTCAGACCTGCTTTTTTCTCGTAATAAGGATGAGATGCGCTAACAGTCTGAGGTGCCAGAAAAATTACTGCTGGAGCAAACTGATCATTTAGAAAGTATAAGTCATCAGGCCCAGATGGTGTATCCAAGAGTTCTGAAGAAGCTTAAATAAGAAGTGGCTGAACTGCTAACCAAAAAATTGCAATCTCATTAAACATAGCCACTGTTCCAGAGATTTAGAGAGCAGCAAGTGTTGTATCTATATTTTAAAAAGACCCTGGAGTGAACCAGGGAATTATCGACTGGTAAGCCTTACATCTGCAGCTGGTAAACTGATTGAAATGATAACTGAAAACTGAACAACAAAACACCTGGAAGGTGTCTAACTAATGTGGAGTCTGAAAAGGAAAATCATGTTTCACTAATCTCTTATAATTCTTGAATGTGTCAATGAAGTAGTGGATAAAGGAGAACCAGTTGACATAATTTATTTAGTCTTCCAAAAGGCCTTTGACGAAGTTCCACAGAAAAGGCTAATAAAGAAGATAAGTAGTAACAGCATGAGAGGCAAAGTGTTGCCTGGATCAAAAACTGGCAAAGAGACAGAATACAAAGGGTAAGATTAAATGGCAAAAGGTTAACAGCAGTTGCTTCAAGTTTCCATACTAGGTCCTGTGTTGTTTAATAAATTTATTAATGACCTGGAAAAGGGGACTGAGTAGTGAGGTAGCAATATTTGCAGATGACATTTAGGTTAGTCAGGATCAGACAAGACTGTGAGGAACTTCAGACAGACCTAAACAAATTAGGTGAAAGGGCAATGCAATGGCAAATTAAATTCAGTGTCAATAAATACACAGTAATCCATGTGGGGAGGAAAATTTTTTAACTATTTGGACCTCTTACAGGGGTCTAAATGAACAGTATCAGCTGAAAGAAGGGACCTGGATGTCACTGTAGACAATTCAACGAAAACCTCTGCTCAGTGTGCAGCTGCAGTTAAAAAAGCAAACAAGATGTTAGGTTGCACAAGGAATGGGATGGTGAATAATACAGAGAATACTTAAATGTAAATCAATGGTGCAGCCTCATCTGGAATTGGTATTGGTCACCCCATCTGATATAAGGTATTGCAGAACTAGGTGGATTCAGAGAAAGGTGGCAAGAATAATCTAAGGCATAAAAAAATCATACAAAGAGAGACTGAAAAGACTGGGATTGTTCACTTAAATAAGGCGATGAATGAGAGAGGACATGATACCAATATATGAAATATGGTATAGAGAAGGTAGATTGGGAACGCCTGTTCTCGCTGTCTCATAACACAAGAACAAGAGGGCAGTCAGTACAATTAAAAGGTGGAAAATTAAAAAAAAAAAACTTTTCCCACACACAGTGTGATTAAACCTTGGAACTCAGTGCCACAGGAAGTTGTTGAGGCGAAGAATTTAACAAGATTCAAAATGGGATTGCACATTTATATGGAAAACATATAACCATTTTTTTTGGTGCAAGGGATGTTAAACCTCATGCATAAGAGCTTAAACTTGTCTCTAACTATAGAAATGTGGAAGAGACCTAATGTAGAAGGCAGATCACCCCACATCTGCAGACTGAGGGGTTCTTACACCTTAATCTGAAACATCTGGCACTGGCCAATGTCAGAGACAGAACAGTGGACAAGATGGGCCTCAGATCTGATCTAGTCTGGCAATTCCTAAATTCTTAAACACAATGCTTTTGGAGTACCTCGTGAAATTTACTCCTTTTCCTAATTATTATTTTATCAGGGCTAGTGGTGATATTTTAAAAAGTAACTTCTCCAGATATTTATATAAAAATCTAACCTGAAAATAACTCAAATGCTCAACCAAAAAGGAAAGGGTACAGAAAACATCAGTGTACTGGGTGAATGACGAATATTCACCATTTATTTAAAAACACCCCTCCCCCCATCCCTATCCCAACCCACCCCTCTCTACAAGGGGCCAACCAAGTGACAATGCCTGGGGTGTGGACTTTCAAAGACACTGAGTAGCCACGAGTTGATTGATTTCAATTGGAACTGTAGGTGCTCAGCACTTGTGAAAATCAGCCCCTCAACTTCTTGTGATAGTAAAAACTGATAACACCTTCCTACTGCTATTTCTTCGCTGACCAATATAATAACGGAATACAAAGGTTTTTTTTATATTTTTATCATTAATATTCTATTTAGTAGTTTAAATGCAATAGGACAGGTATAAATATATACTGCAGCAATAAAATA